CCCCATTTTGGCTTTTGTGAATAATGCTGCTATAAACATTCATGTACAAATTTGTGTGTAGACATATGTGTTCACTTCTCTTAGGTATATACCTAAGGATGGAATTGCTGGGTCACATGATAATTCTATGTTTAACTTTTGAGGAACTGGCACACTGTTTTCCAAAGTGCCTGCATCATTTTACATCCCCACTGGCAGTGTTCGAGGATTCCAGGTTCTCCACACCCTCCCCAACACTTAGCATTGCCTGTCCTTTTTATTACAGCCATTCTGGTAGGTATGCAGTGGTATCTCATTGTGGTTTTGATCTGCGTTTCCCTAATGACTAATGATGTTGAGCATCTTTTTGTGTGCTTATTAGCCATTTATATGTTTTTATGAGAGAAATGTCTGTTCAACCCTTTACCCATTTTTTAAATTGGTTTATCTTTTTGTTATTGAGTTCAAAGTGTTATTTAAATAAATATTTTCATTAATTAAAATTTAATTCTTATTTTTGTAAAAATAAAACTATTCATAATCTAGTATTCAATAGCTATCTAGTTGCCAATATAAAGAATCAGTATTGTGCTTCGTGCCTGTTCCATTTAGACCTATAAATACATAAATTTCAGAGTGATATGAATTGTTTAATGTTCCTTAGTCACCTTGGACAACTGCTGTGAATAATGCACTACTTCATGAGTACCTCTGGGCCATGAGGAAGACAGGCAGAGGGACAGAAAAGGGATGTCTGTCTTTCCCTTGTCTAAGCACTCAACTCTCCCCACCGCAAATGTACCTGGTTGCTACAGACAGCCGCTTGCTTTTCATGGAGGACGCGGGGTAAAAGAAGGGAAGTGCTGGGGCCTGAGCTGTTGATCCTGAGAGTGGATTTCAGGGTCACAGGCTGTGTCCCGCCAGCACTGAGGGGCTGCAGAACCTATGCCTTCCCTAATGTGTTTGGATTTGTGCGCCCGACAGCTTGTGTGCGGCTTCCAGGTGTGGCTGGAGGGGGTCACGTGGGAAGTGGGGGGAACGTGCCTGGCCCGCAGACACCCGGGAAAATGGTGGGGCAAGGGCCAAGGGCCGACCTAGCAACCACCTCTGCTCAGGAGAAGCGAGGAGGCGACGCCGCCGGGCGTCCCGAGCCTGGGTCCGCCCGAGTCGCCGAGGGGGCCCCGTGGGCACTTAG